ATTTTCTAAACTATACTATTTTCACTATACGGATTTATTCTATACAGATCACTATTTTCTACACTGCCTCTATTACTATACAATTCTGTTATTCTCTATACTATTCACTATACTATTTCTCTAAACAGATCACTATTTCTACACTGCCCTCTATTACTATACGGTTCGTTATTCTCTGTACTATTCACTATCTATTTCTCTAAACGGATCATTTTTATTTCTACACTACCCTCTATTATTATACGGTTCTTTATTCTCTCTATACTATTCACTATACTATTTCTCTAAACGTATTTACTATTTCTACACTGCCTCTATTACTATATTGTTTGTTATTCTCATACTATTCACTATACTATTTCTCTAAACAGATCACTATTTCTACACACTCTCTATTATTATACGGTTCGTTATTCTCTATACTATTCTATATTATTTCTAAACGTATACTATTTTCTCCCTATTACTATACAGTTCGATATTCTCTACTATTCACTATACTATTTCTCTCATTTCTACACTGCCCTCTATTACTATACGGTTCGTTATTCTCTATACTATTCACTATACTATTTCTCTAAACAGATCACTATTTCTACACTGCCCCTATTACTATACAGTCTGTTATTCTCTAATTATTTCACTGCTTTATTTCTCCTATACAGATCACTATTTCCACACTGCCCCCATTCTATTACTATGCAGTTTTCGTTTATTCTCTATATGGTTCGTTATTCTTATTATTCACTATTTCTCTAAACGGATCACTATTTCTACACTGCCCTCTGTTACTATACGGTTCGTTATTCTCTATACTATTCACTATACTATTTCTCCAAACGGATCACTATTTCTACACTGCCCTCTGTTATTATTGATTTCGTTATTCTATACTATTCACTATACTATTTCTCCATACAGATCACTATTTCTACACTGCCTCTATTACTATAATGGTTCGTTATTCTCTATACTCATTTCACTATACTATTTTCTCCTAAACGGATCACTATTTCTACACTGCCCCTCTATTACTATACGGTTTCTATACTATTCTCTATACTATTTCTCCATAGGGATACTATTATTACTATACGAATCACTATTTCTACCATACCCTCTAAATTACTATACACTGTTCGTTATTATTCTATACTATTCACTATACTATTTCTCTTAAACAGATCACTATTTCCCCTCCCCTCTATTTACTATACGGTTCGTTATTCTCTATACCATTCACTATACTATTTCTCCCTTAAACGGATCACTATTTCTATTATTCGCCCTATTACTATACGTTTCATTTATTCTCTATACTATCACCTATACTATTTCTAAACGGATCACTATTTCTACTGCCCTCTCTATTACTATATAATGGTTCATTTATTCTCATACTATTCACTATACTATTTCTCTAAACGGATCACTATTTCTACACTGCCCTCTATTACTATACGGTTTGTTATTCTCTATACTATTCACTATACTATTTCTCTAAACGTATCACTATTTCTATTAACTGCCCTCTGTTACTATACGGTTTCGTTATTCTCCTATACTATTCACTATACTATTTTCTCTAAACGGATCACTATTTCTACACTGCCCTCTATTACTATATTTAGTTCGTTATTCTCTAATTATTCACTATACTATCCATACTGAATCACTATATCTACACTCCCCTCATTACTATACGGTTCGTTATTCTCATACTATTCACTATACTATTTCTCCCACGGACAATCACTATTTCTACACACTGCCCTCTGTACTATACGGTTCGTTATTCTCTATACTATTCACTATACTATTTTCTAAACGTATCATTATTTCTACACTGCCCTCTATTACTATACGGTCTGTTATTCTCTATACTATTCACTATAATATTTCTCTAAACGTATCACTATTTCTACACTGCCCCCTCCATTACTATACGGTCTTCGTTATTCTCTCATACTTTATTCACTATATGCTGTTTTCTCTAAACGTATCCACTATTTCTACACTGCCTCTGTTATTACCATAATGATTCGTTATTCTCTATACTATTCACTATACTATTTCTCCATACGTATCACTATTTCTACACTGCCCTCTCTATTACTATACAGTTCGTTATTCTCTATAATTATTCACTTTATGCTATTTCTCTAAACAGATTCCACTTTATTTCACACTGCCTTCATTACTCTGTTGTCTTTCGTTATTCTCTTATACTATTCACTATCCTTAATTTCTCTAAACGGATCACTATTTCTACCTGCCCTCTATTACTATAATGTTTTGTTATTCTCTATACTATTCACTATACTATTTTCAAACGTATCACTATTTCTTACACTGAGTCGATTATCCAGTACCGGTCGCATTTTGTATAACTGAATAGGCATTTTATCCAGTTGTTGGCTGTCAACATCCATGATCTGGTTAGATTCCTGATTAGACTGTAATGGATAGCGCCAATTATAGTCTGCTCGGGTATTTTACCCGTAACTAATGAGAAAGGAATAAAATAAACTCAGCTTGAATTTGAACTCGGCCCCTGATTTCATTTCCTGTTTCAATAACTATTACGCTATATATATAGTAAATCTATTACAATGAATTTACTATATAAATTATTTACAATGCAATTTCTGTGTTAAACTCGTTCCAATATAATTTTTTTTATAGTCCTCCAAGCATTGTTTGAACATTATAGAAAGAAAAACTGCACTTTCTCTGAAAACCATCATTTGAACATTGACTAGAAAAAAGAAATAAAATTATCCCAAACGTTTTTACTTCAGAGAAGTAATCAAATTAAAAACTTTCCCCAAAGTGTAATGCTCCCAAGCAGAGAAAGGATATAAAAAAAAATCCAGTCGACAGCATTTGGAGAGCTTCTGGGAGGATACTATATTGATAAGAATCCCATGATATCCTTACCTAAAACTTAATCACCAGTCAATAAGTAATTACATATTATTTGGCGTCGTTGTTTGGCCGACACCAGCAGGCCACTGTCTCTATTAAACATTTAAAATACCAGTCATTAGTCTGGACTTAAACTTGGTACTTTCGAGATTTAAATGTCTGTTATCAGGTTGATTGCTGAACAAAGACCACCGAGGAAAGGGTTATGATTTGTTTTTTTAAATAATTTCACCCCAAGCAAGGCAATAAAGCCACCAATACGCAAGTAAGTAACTAGAGAATGTTTTAGAGAATATGAGAAAGAAAACAATATTAATGAGGGAGAACAATAAAAGAACAAGACTTAAGAAGACACGGTAACAACCTACAATATTATGCACAATATTATTGACAATATTATTGACAATATTATTGACAATATGGTTAATTATTTACTGATATTTTACTTGCTGTAATTTCTTTTTATATACTAATCTTTCCCCAATACACGGCCCAAGAGCCACTCAAATTAGAGGTTTACTGAGTGGTGTTCTATGAGCGTAAGAAAGAGCAAGACGTGAAGTTCATGGTGCTATGTAGAAAAGATAATAGTTAACCCTAAATTTGAAGGGTCAAGATTTTAGCGACTGAGAATTCCTGCTGGGAGTCTGTTTCACAAAGCAACAGTTCTTGGGAAGAAGCTGTCTGAGTGGAACTTACGTCTTACTATAAGGATATGAAAGGAAAAGATAACGATTAACCCTAGACTTGAAGAGGTCAACAATATGGCGATTCGGAAAACATCCTGCCGGGAGTCTGATACGAAGGAAATATGGCATGATTCACACTTGTACGTGGCAGGGTGGGTCCCAGTTGTAAAGTCCACGAGTGGTGGGAATAAGGAATGTAGCTAATCAGAACACATGCCATGTCAATAGCAATAGCGCAGCTAGAGGCACACGACGTTTCGTTTACGAGAAAAGGATTGTAGGGTGGAAAACAATCACCCACAAGGTCACGTAAACGCTTTTGAACTCTATCAAGACAAGCAAAAGAGGACTGGGCAACTTCACCCCAGATACGACAGCATTGCACCATTCTTTTTGTTTTTTTATTTGTTTTGTTTTACGGCAAATCAACATCAATGGGTTATTTAATGCCGACAACATTTTTAGGATAGATTCGTATGAATAGAATATGTATTCTTTGGTTTAGATTGGTTTGGTTTATTTTGTTTAACAACATATCAACCTCAATGGTTTATTTAATGCCGACAACATTTTAGGATAGATTCCTATGAATAGAATATGTATTCTTTGGTTTAGATTGGTTTGGTTTATTTTGTTTAACAACATATCAACCTCAATGGTTTATTTAATGCCGACAACATTTTAGGAGAGATTCCTATGAATAGAATATGTATACTTTGGTTTAGATTGGTTTGGTTTATTTTGTTTTACGGCATATCAACCTCAATGGGTTATTTGATGCCGACATTTTTATTGCTGGTAATATTTTTATTCAAAATGTATTGCTGGTAAAAAATATTTCAAAAAAAAAAAAATATTGGTATTTAAAACCTATTTTTTAAACTATTTTCATCGTGTTTGGACCCCTATTTTGAGGGTTAACTATTTGCCCATAGCTGGGACCCTGATAGGTGCTACCACTGCGGGTCAGGGTGGACCTGGGAACGCCAGCAATTAAGAGGTGGTTCCACGCTTCTTAAAACCTCTTGATCAGAGACGTTGCTGTCGGATGTAGTTTATCGTCTTACCCAGGACGTGGATGTAGTTTATCGTCTTACCCAGGACGCGGATGTAGTTTATCGTACACCATTCTTGGTCTGATCTGGCTTTTGTGAAAGTAGAGGAGAGCAGGAGAAGTCATATACTTACTGGAGTGGTACAATATGAACAGAAGAGATCAGTTGATTATCTTTTAATACCTACTTTGTTTTATGTTTCATTTGTACCATCCGAGAAGAAGGTTGCCAGTAGAATGATGATGACACTAAACGAAACGCAGCAATACTACCCTGCATTTTTACAACGAACAAATAGAACACATAGTAAAAATAGATGACAAGAAATTACGGCCATAGCGCGTAGAAACACCGGTTTCATCCGATCACCGAAGTTAAGCAATGTTAAACCTGGTCAGTACTCTCGGAAGGGTGACCGCAGGAGAATATCAGATATTGTAACCTACTTGTATTTATGTATAAGAGACTAAAGAGAGAGAGAGAGAAATGAAAGTGTTATATAGGGAATAAAGTGTCGCTACCGACACTAGAGTTTGAACAAAGATCACCAGTGAGCAAACACAGGCGACCCCATTTTGAATAAGTAGATCACGTGATAGTAAAGGGAATGTAAACGATCGACATTTCTATTTTATCTTCTATTACTATACGGATCGCTATTCTCTATACTATTCACTGTACTATTTCTCTATACTGATCACTATACGGATCACTATTTCTACTCTATCCTCTATTACTATACGGATCGCTATTCTCTATACTATTCACGATACTATTTCTCTATACTGATCACTATACGGATTACTAATTCTACTCTATCCTCTATTACTATACGAATCGCTATTCTCTATACTATTCACTATATTTCGTTATTCCTATACTGATCACTATACGGATGACTATTTCTCTTCTATCCTCTATTACTATACGGATCGCTATTCTCTATACTATTCACTGTACTATTTTCATACTGATCACTATACGGATTACTATTTCTACTCTATCCTCTATTACTATACGGATCGCTATTCTTATACTATTCACGATACTATTTTCATATACTGATCACTATACGGATCACTATTTATACTCTATCCTCTATTACTATACGGATCGCTATTCTCTATACTATTCACGATACTATTTCTCTACTGATCACTATACGGATTACTAATTTTACTCTATCCTCTATTACTATACGAATCGCTATTTCTATACTATTCACTATATTTCCCTATACTGATCACTATACGGATGACTATTTCTACTCTATCCCTCTATTACTATACGGATCGCTATTCTCTATACTATTCACTGTACTATTTTTTCTATACTGATCACTATACGGATTACTATTTATACTCTATCCTCTATTACTATACGGATCTATTCTCTATACTATTCACGATACTATTTATTCTATACCGGATCACTATACGGATGACTATTTCTACTCTATCCTCTATTACTATACGAATCGCTATTCTCTATACTATTCACTGTACTATTTTCTATACTGATCACTATACTGGATCACTATTTAGTCTCTATCCTCTATTACTATACGGATCGCTATTCTCTATACTATTCACAATTCACTATAATATTTTTCATACTGATCACTATACGGATCGCTATTTCTAGTCTATCCTCTATTACTATACGGATCGCTATTCTCTATACTATTCAACTATATATTTTTCTATACTGATCACTATACGGATTACTATTTCTACTCTATCCTCTATTACTATACGGATCGCTATTCTCTATACTATTCACGATACTATTTCTCTATACTGATCACTATACGGATTACTATTTCTAGTCTATCCTCTATTATTATACGGATCGCTATTCTCTATACTATTCACTATAATATTTCTCTATACTGATCACTATACGGATGACTATTTCTACTCTATCCTCTATTACTATACGGATCGCTATTCTTTATACTATTCACTATAATATTTCCCTATACTGATCACTATACGGATCACTATTTCTACTCTATCCTCTATTGCTATACGGATCGCTATTCTCTATACTATTCACGATACTATTTCTCTATACTTATCACTATACGGATGACTATTTCTACTCTATACTCTATTACTATACGGATCGCTATTCTCTATACTATTCACTGTACTATTTCTCTATACTGATCACTATACGGATCACTATTTCTACTCTATCCTCTATTACTATACGGATCGCTATTCTCTATACTATTCACGATACTATTTCTCTATACTGATCACTATACGGATTACTATTTCTACTCTATCCTCTATTACTATACGGATCGCTATTCTCTATACTATTCACTGTACTATTTCTCTATACTGATCACTATACGGATCACTATTTATACTCTATCCTCTATTACTATACGGATCGCTATTCTCTATACTATTCACTGTACTATTTCTCTATACTGATCACTATACGGATTACTATTTCTACTCTATCCTCTATTACTATACGAATCGCTATTCTCTATACTATTCACTATAATATTTCTCTATACTGATCACTATACGGATTACTATTTCTACTCTATCCTCAATTACTATACGGATCGCTATTCTCTATACTATTCACGATACTATTTCTCTATACTGATCACTATACGGATTACTATTTGTTATTACTATCTATCCTCTATTACTATACGAATCGCTATTTCTATACTATTCACTATAATATTTCTCTATACTGATCACTATACGGATTTTACTATTTTATTTCTATCCTCTATTATTATACGGATCGCTATTCTCTAAACGGATTATTCACGATACTATTTCTCTCTATACTGATCACTATACGGATGACTATTTCTACACTATCCTCTATTACTATACGGATCGTTATTCTCTATACTATTCACTGTACTATTTTCTATACTGATCACTATACGGATCACTATTTATACTCTATCCTCTATTACTATACGGATCGCTATTCTCTATACTATTCACGATACGATTTCTCTATACTGATCACTATACGGATTACTAATTCTAAACGGATCTATCCTCTATTACTATACGAATCGCTATTCTCTATACTATTCACTATATTTCCCTATACTGATCACTATACGGATGACTATTTCTACTCTATCCTCTATTACTATACGGATCGCTATTCTCTATACTATTCACTGTACTATTTCTCTATACTGATCACTATACGGATTACTATTTATACTCTATCCTCTATTACTATACGGATCGCTATTCTCTATACTATTCACGATACTATTTCTCTATACTGATCACTATACGGATGACTATTTCTACTCTATCCTCTATTACTATACGGATCGCTATTCTCTATACTATTCACTATATTTTCCCTATACTGATCACTATACGGATGACTATTTCTCTATCCTCTATTACTATACGGATCGCTATTCTCTATACTATTCACTGTACTATTTCTCTATACTGATCACTATTTATACGGATTACTATTTATACTCTATCCTCTATTACTATACGGATCGCTATTCTCTATACTATTCACGATACTATTTCTATACTGATCACTATACGGATTACTAATTCTACTTCATCCTCTATTACTATACGGATTGCTATTTCTATACTATTCACTGTACTATTTCTCTATACTGATCACTCTAATTTCTACGGATCCCTTATTTATACTCTATCCTACTATTCATTACTATACGGATCACTATTTCTATACTATTCACAATTCACTATATATTATTCACTATACTGATCACTATACGGATTACTATTTCTACTCTATCCTCTATTACTATACGGATCATTATTCTCTATACTATTCACGATACTATTTCTCTATACTGATCACTATACGGATTACTATTTATACTGCATCCTCTATTACTATACGGATCGCTATTCTCTATACTATTCACGATACTATTTCTCTATACTGATCACTATACGGATTACTATTTCTACTCTATCCTCTATTACTATACGGATCGCTATTCTCTATACTATTCACGATACTATTTCCCTATACTGATCACTATACGGATCACTATTTCTACTCTATCCTCTATTACTATACGGATCGCTATTCTCTATAATATTCACGATACTATTTCCCTATACTGATCACTATACGGATGACTATTTTTACTCTATTCTTTGTTACTATACGGATCGCTATTCTCTATACTATTCACCTATTCACTATACTATTTCTCTAAACGTGTCATTTTCTACACTGCCCTCTATTACTATATTTTTCTGTTATTCTCTATACTATTCACTATACTATTTTCTCTAAACGGATCACTATTTCACACCCTCTCATTACTATAATGTTTGTTATTCTCTATACATTCACTATACTATTTCTAAAACGGATCACTATTTCTACACCGCCCTCTATTACCATAATGGTTCGTTATTCTCTATACTATTCACTATACTATTTCTCTAAACGGATCACTATTTCTACACTGCCCTCTCTATTACTATTAATTTCTGTTATTCTCTATACTATTCACTATACTATTTCTCTAAACGGATCACTATTTCTACACTGCCTCTATTACTATACGGTTTTCGTTAGTCTCTATACTATTCACTATACTATTTCTCTAAACGGATCACTATTTCTACACTGCCCTCTATTACTATACGGTTCGTTATTCTCTATACTATTCACTTCTATACTATTTCTCTAAACAGATCACTATTATTATTTCTACACTGCCTCTATTACTATATGGTCTGTTCGTCTCTATACTCTCTATACTATTTTTCTAAACGGATTCACTATACACTGCCCCATCTGTTACTAAACGGTTCGTTATTCTCTATTATCTCAATTCTACTCTCAAACAGATCACTATTTCACACTGCCCCCATTATTTCTACACGGTTCCTTATTCTCTATACTATTCATATACCTATACTATTTCACAATTACTATATTGTCATTATCTTATACTATTTACTATTTCTAAACGGATCACTATTTCTGCCCTCTATTACTATACGGTTCGTTATTCTATACTATTCACTATACTATTTCTCTAAACAGATTATTATTTCTACACTGCCTCTATTACTATATATTTTCAGTTATTCTCAACTTTATTCACTATACTATTTCTCTAACGGATCACTATTTCTACACTGCCCTCTATTACCTATACGGTTCATTTATTCTCTATACTATTCACTATACTATTTCTCTAAACGGATCACTATTTCTACACTGCCCTCTATTATTATACGTTATTCGTTATTCTCTATACTATTCACTATACTATTTTCTCATTGTTACAGTTCGTTATTCTCTATATTTCTACTACTGCCCTCTCAAATTATTTGTACATTCCCATTACTATGCGGTTTCTCTATACTATTCACTATACTATTTCTCTAAACGGATCACTATTTCTACACTGC